CACGGGCTTGACTCAATTGTCCGTCTCTATCTCTGTAAGCAATTCAATTCCATTGTTGCCGTCACTTCTTGGCGGCCTTATATACAAGAATACCACACCTCTAGTAAACACTCGAGCATTCACGAACTTTCGAGAATATCATGACGTGTTACTAGCGTCACGTGACTTCCGCTGTCGTAACAATATCTTCAATCTCTCTGTCTGCTATTATCTATTATACCTTCACTTCATTTGCCGGCTTATATATATAAAAAAATAGAGGGCGCGTAGAGAATACCAGAGTTGCCACGAACAGACATGATCCTTCTAGAATATCATGACGTGTTACTAGCGTCACGTGAAATCCGCTGTCGTAACATTATAATTCATCGTATCAGTCATCTTTATATCGTTAATACATGTATTGTAGAAATATCATATATACATAACATAATGTTTAGGGACAACAAGGGACCTATTGGTCCATCTCAGCTGTCTCATCCTCTAAACTAAACTATTAAATACATCACTTTTAAAACAGAATCGTAAAGCCAGCCCTTATAATTCATACAGTTATCAAGTTTTCTTTTAAACTCATTTATATTTACTGCCTCAACAACATCCGAAGGAAACCCATTCTAGAGGCCAAACACCTTGTTAGAAAAATAAAAATGTCTTAACTGAAGATGATAACTACCTTGACAAAATTTATATTTGTGTCCCCTAGTCCTACTATTATTGCAGTTAAGTATAAAAATAAGATGATACCTCAACACCATCAATTCCCTTTACAATTTTAAACACCTAAATCAGATTCCTTCTAACTTTTCTTTTTTCAAGAGAAAATAATTTGAGAGATCTTAATCTTTCCTCATATGAAGACCATTCATCCCAGGAACCATTCTAATAACTCTCCTCTAAACTATTTCTAACAATTCAATGTCCTTCCTCAAGCAAGGAACCCAAGACTAAACACAATACTCCAAATGTGGCTTAACCAGTGACCTGTACAATGAAATTATAATATCTTTAGACTTGTATTCAACATTACTGTAGATACAATCTAACATCCTATTTGCTCTACCACTAGCAATAGCACACTGTTTGGATGGCTTGAGAGACTGATCAACCATTACACCAGGATCCCTTTCTTTCATGACAATGTTAAGGTTATCCTCACCCAAATTATACTTATAATTGACATTATGATAACCATATGCACTATCTTGCATTTATTATAATTAAAACCCATTTGACATTTATTTGCTCAACTCACTAAATGATCTAAATCCATTTGTAATGCAGCAGCATCTTCTTCACAGCTAGCAACACCCAAGACCTTAATATCATCAGCAGATTTTCTTCATCTATGTCATTGGTGTAAAACAAAGTCCTAAGACTGAGCTCTGAGGTACTCCACTTGTGACATTAATCTAGTTTGACTGAACTCCATTTATAACAACTCTCTGCTTTCTTCCACCTAGCCTCTCTTCTATCCAATTAGCTAACTTATCCCCCACACCTTCAGATATATATATATATATATATATTTACAAGCCTTTTTTGTGGTATCTTGTGCTTTCTGAAAATCAAGATACATCAAATCTACATCATTACCCTCATATACATAAGTAGAGACATTTTCAAAGAATGTCAAAAGATTTGCAAGGCAAGATTTTCCCTTAGTG